TTATTATACAAATCCAATAACATAAATAAAAGTCCAAATAAAATAAATGGATGTCAGCATCAACTCTCTCGAGGTGGGAAAAAAACTTGACCTCATCGAGTGGATAAATTATAATACACTGTAGTCAATCTCTCCACTATAAACTGAGTGGTTGAACAAGCTTCTTCTGACACCTATAAAAGCATATCAGTGAAGGTCTGAATTTGGTATCCTCACAAACTCTCCCTGAACGGGTGGGAGGCGATTTGGGCAAAGGAAGATCCTGCTAACTCTGATAGAGCTCCAATAAACTTGGGTCAAGCTACTGTAGTATCTCTCTGGAGATCCATGTATAGTCAGAATCAAGTAGATCAACCCAGCGAACAAGAAAGTGTTGAACCTCTCCATCATTGGTTAACACAATTTGGCTAATGCATTTGGGCCAGCTTGCCTTAAAACTTTAAACAGACCAGCACAACTGGCTTGCAATTTGGAGGCGGGTCCACGAAAATGCCACTCTAGTCTAATTTAGACCATAACGTAATCCCAAATGTTAAACTCAACATATCGTTTATGTAAATCAACTTAAAGTTTATATGATACATTACTGGCTTTAAGTTGTTTATTGATCTCAATATGCAAGTCATGAAAATGTTGTGCAAAAGCCTCAGTTGACATAGACACTCTAGCATGTGGAGACATGAGAATGAGATATAAAGGCTTCCTAGGCTTAAACCCATTAACAACTTCAAATGGACTCATACCTAATTCATAGAACTATTATATGCAATTCGAGCTATAGAAAGAATTACATCCCAATTTCTAGGATTTTATTAGATCAGACATCTTAATAAATTATTAAGACTATGATTAACTATTTCCATTTTACCGTCGGTTTGAGGGTGGTAAGTAGTAGAAAATTTCAATTTAGTACCAACTTTTCGCCATGAGGTTATCCAAAAATGACCAGTGAAAATGAAACATCCCGATCTGATACAATGATTTTAGGAAGACTATACAATTTGATAATTTCATTAAAGTATAACGTGGCAACTTTAGAGGCATCGGAGGTCTTACTACAAGGGATAAAATAGGCTATTTTTGAGAAACGATCAACTCCAACAAAAATAGAATAATGTTTCTTCGAAGTGCATAGATGTCCTAACATGAAATCCATAATAACATCTTGCCACAGACAATTAGGGACGGGAAGAGATAAGTATAAACTAGTGTTTTGCCTCTTCTATTTGGCCAACTGACAAGTGCTACATGTGCTAACTTTTTAGCCACATCTTTCTTCAAACTAGACTAATAAAATTGATGTTCAATATCTTCTATGTGCGTTATCACTCCCAAAGCAACAGGCTAAGCCTCCCGTGGAGGATACAATGAAGAGAGAATATTTCTTGAGGTTAGCATATAGTTTTGTTGCTCGAAAAGTAGAACAAACATGTATGAGATGATCTCGATATTGTTCCTTAGTCTTACTATAGACGATAATGTCATTAAAGTAGACGATGAGGAACTTACACATGAAAGGTCAAAGATTTGTGTCATTACTTGCAAAAAGGTGCTTGGAGAGTTGATTATCCCAAAAGGCATGACCAGCCACTCATAAAGACCACATTTCGTTTTAAAAGCGATTTTTCACTCATCACCTAGACGGATCATAATTTGGTGATATCCACTCTTCAGATCAATCTTCGAAAATATTGGAGCACCAACTATCATAACTAACATATCATCAAGCCTAGGAATAGGAAAGTGATACTTCACTGTGATCCTATTCATGGCACGACTATCTACACACGTTCTCCAAGAGCTATCTTGTTTAGGAGTTAATCAGACAAGGACTGCACAAGGGCTTAAACTCTTATGGATGTTTCCTTTGTAAAGGAGTTCATCTACTTGCCTCTGGAGTTCGACGTGCTTGGTAGGATTCATCTTATAAAAAGCAAATTTGAAAGTAACGCCTTCAAGATAAAATCTATGATATGTTTGATGTCTTATAGAAGAGGCAACTGGTCAAGTAGGTCTTCTGGGAAGACATCCTCAACTCTTGAAGGAACAACTGAATTTCAATAGGGCTCTCTAGTTTAGGGTTTAATGGAACCTCTATAACGACCACACAAACACAATGGAATCAAACAAGTGAACGCTCAAACTCTGTAGGGCTAATGATATGTAACCCCTTTTCCTCAGTTTTCTTTATTTCCTGTGAGCCAACAGGTATTGGGGGTAGTGGGTTAAGATGGATCTTATTCCCATTAAACATGAAAGAACAAGAATTGGATCGACCATAGGTTACGTTCAAATCGAACAACCAAGGTCACCCCAGAATGATGTGCCCGACATCCATTGAAATGACGTCAGACCATATATGATCTTTATACTTAAAGAGCTGGATAGCAACTAAACAACGCTCTTTGACAGTTATAGAAGAGTATTAATCCAGGAGACACTATACGGCTGAGGTGAGGAATTGGTTTCAACCTAAGACGGGATACAGTAGCCATCAAAATTGCATTAATGTAATTACCACTATTTATAATAACTTTACAGCCCTTATTATTGATCTTAATGTGAGTGTGGAAGATGGCGTGACAACGTCAATCATCGACATCCTTGGGTTGGGTAAGGGTACAACTTACAACAATGACTCTAGGCATGTTGGGAGTAAGGGAAAGGGTCCGAATACAACATAAGAAGATATCTTCATTATCATCCAAGTCATCAAACTCTTCCAACTTAGGTTCATAAATTTGGTCATCTAAAGATTCGTCAACTACACCCTCACGTTCCTCAATAACTAGGGTTTGACTAGGACACGTGAAGGAAATTTGACGAAAGCCTTTACACTGAAAACAATGCAAGTGTGAGGACGTCAATGGAATTTTAGGACTTTTACCTTTACTTTTTGATATAGGTGAAGCATTAGAAGGGAGAGGTCCTAGAATAGACTTAGGAGAAGAAGTAGATGTAGAAAAGATTGAAGTGACTGTGTCACTATGACTTCTATACGACATTCTAGTCACTAGCTCGTAATCTCAAACAAAAGAGTAGGTGTGATCAAGAGTGATAATATCCCAAAGGACAAGCGCACTCCTAAGATCATCCCTTAGACCTTGCCTAAATCTACTCAAGGTCATGACATCATCCTCAACAACCTGACATCTCATTCAGAACTCATCAAACTAAGTGATGTACTCCGTTATAGGTCAATTACCTTACGTAAGAACATTCCATTGATATAACAAAGTACCCCTATAAGAGTGGGTTAAGTACTTATCTTGAAGGCGATGCTTTATTTCATCCCAACTCCCAACAGAGAGAGCACAACGCATCTCAAAGAGATCCTCAACACTTTTTCAAAAGAGTTTAGCAGTGCCAATTAATTCTAGAGTGGCAAAATGAACTCTTCAATCTTTCAGAACCCCACACCAGGAGAAGAAATGATCTATCTCTAACCCATTGTGTAAATACACTAGAGTTTAGGCAACGTCAATAGTAAGGGCATCCAACTTAATGTTTCTAAAGAAATGTTCCTCGTAGCGAGAGGAAGACTGAGTATCATGATGGTAATGTTCCGACTCTCATTCACGAACCTGATTTTTCATCCCTACGGTCATGTCCAACGCAGTGTTGACCACCTTGTAGACGACGCTAAGGTCTATTAATGGAAGCTTCAGAGTTTTTAGCTTCAGTCGGTTTGTTCAAGGGTGTGTAACTTAGTGGCTATGATTCTATTTTTTTCACGAGTAGTAGCCACCTTAGTTTGGACAGTTGCTAATTGAGATTGTAATTGTTGTTAGCTAGTGGTAAGTTGTACTAATTGTCGGGTGAAAGCCTCAAATTGGGACTAGAGGGGATAGTTCGATTACTATGCAATTGCTTATAAAGCAACACTTGCTAAATGAAGTGCAATAGAGAGATCAATAAACTATGAGTGCCACCAAGAAATAGCAATTTGAATTTTTTAAATTAAATTTTGGGGTTACGTAAATCCAAATATGGCAAGCTAATAACGCTGATACGAATAAAATAAAAAGCAAGAGTGCAAATGACTAATCAAAATCTCCAATCATGCGGGATAAGCGAGTAAGGTTGGAAATTAATTAGTCAACAATTTCGTCAAGTGGTGTAAAGATAAAATTTTCAAGGTAACAGCAACACAGGGAATTAAATGATGTGATTTAAAAATGATGCAATAGTGTAAACCAAAGATAAATAGATAACAGCAACTCCCAGTTGTCGAATCTGTTCTAAATAAGATCTTCAAGTTAGCACGCCTCCAATGGAAAATTGTAATGGAATACTCTGAGCAATCGAGTCGCTAAACAGATCACAAATCCTCAAGAGTTTTAACAAGCAGCACCCAATGCAAATAATAGGCTAAATCCAATCAACAAATGTCCTTAGTAATCTAAACTCTAAAGAAGTCCACCGATGTGAAAATGAGGTAAAACTTAACTCCTGAGTCATTGGCAATTCTTGAAAGCAACGATGATGGATAAAACTATAGCGACACAAATTGAAGGCTATGTTTGATGTAGTTTTATGGTGATTAAGTGACTCTGTGTTTGGCATTGGGCAGTGGAACAAACAATTGATACAATTGATAGATAGGTGACGACGATCGAGTAGTGGATGGCAATTGGCGTAGTAGTGAGTGGCGACTGGCATAGCAATGGGTGGTGCGAAAAACACGACAAAGGTGAAACAAGGTTCAGGATCGACTGTAGATGGCCACAAATTTAGGAACTGCTAAGATGGAGATGTTGAATTTTTTAGGGACAATTGGAGGTCGAATTTGGGACAAAAAGTAACGATGGGATGTGGATAGGTGGTGGAGTTGGTCGAGATGTGGGATGGAATCGATAATCTTGACAGGTGTAGATGGTCGGAATCTTGAAGCTATTAGCAGCAATACAACGTTTGGCTAAAGATGGTGGTTACTGGACTTGAAGAAAATTTGGGCTTTGTGAGTTGTTATGGGCTACTAGGGCTGGGTTATATGTGATATGGATGGATATTGCGCTGTACTATCGGTTGGTATACTTGGGTTTGTGGAAGTTGGGCTCGGGATAAATATGCGTGGTGTAGGGTTTTGTTAGGGAAATCGACAGCAACAACAGGAGTAATGACCAGTAGGAAGCACCAGTTAACCCTTTTTTTTTTTTTTTTTTTGTGAATGCGACTAACGAAAATTTACTACTACAACTGTACCAGTGAACAATTTTGGTGTTTTTTAAAGAACTATCGGAAAAAGAAAAACTTGAAAATAAAAGAAAAAAGCTGCAGTTCCTGATTGGTGAAAAGGGTTAGTTGTGAGATTTTGAATGGACACAGGTGATTTGCAAAGTGGTGGATTTTTTGGATTTAAGAAAGTGTAGGCCAAAAGTGATGAATGACTCTGACACTAAATTTGATGACGGACCAACTAACACAATTAATGGAAAACGAAAACAGATCTACAAAGAAGAGGAGATTAACAGAAGAAATAGTAGATGAAGAAACAATAGAAGAAGTAGAAGAAAATTAAAGGAGAGAAATTTTGCCACATGCCACCGAATATTTTATTCATTCATTAATTGGGGAGAAAAATCTAAAATCGGCTAGCAATTGCATGATGAAATTGCACCACTAATCCTCAATTTATTAGGTTAGCTTAGGTTGGAAAAAGTATGTGTGGCATCATATTTTTGTTAATTATTTATAGGACAATGCCACATTAACAAACCCATCTACAAAATATTTGAAGACTGGACAAGTGGCGGCCCACTATTAGAGGGGCGGCTGTCTCCACTTGTCGAGTTTGTCAAACATTTTGTACATATATATTTATTCTTATTTATAATCTAACTTTTTTTATTTTTTTTAAGGGTGTGTTTGATTTGCATGAAAATTGTTTTCTAAAAAAGAAAATATTTCTCTTGTTTTGAGAAAAATAAAAATATAACTCCTCTCAAAGAAAATGTTTTCCTCAAGAATAAGAAAGCTAAACACATTTTCTAAGGTTGGACAATATTTTTCATAGAAAAAAATAACAATTAAACATTTCAAAAGTTGGCATTCAGGTGGAAAAATGTCATTGTTAATGGAAAAATTTTTCCAATCAAATACACCCTTATAGATTTTTATAATCAAGCTTCTACGTGTTATTTAAGTATCACTGGATTATTTTTGGATGGATAAGTATCTAGAATTTTAAGTTTTGTGTGTGTGTGTGTGTGTGTGAAATTTACATGTATGTTTACACGTTTTTATGAATGTATCTAAACCAAACCCAGAAATTGGGTAACTCAGATTTTTTATTTAAAATCTGATATGTAGTTTATCTAAGTGGATCCTAATCTAAACAAATTCTAGTTTTGTTGGACACATTGAAATAGTAAAAGACTAAGAAAATTTCTAATTATATTCGACTTATCTTATTGGCTTTCTTAATCAATTTATGCGTTTGTTTAGGGTCAAATTGATGCAGTTATTACTTGTATGATTGCTTACTATTGGGATTTTAAGTGACATGGTCCTTAATTTGTGTTCTTAAAAGAATGAGTAGATTGAATCATGCTTTTAATAGTGGATTATTTACAAGTGGCATGGGATCGAGGGATATTTTTCTTGTTTACCACGTTTATTATTAGTAATTAGTTTATTTATATTGCAGCAAGATTAGTTTTAAAATTTGCTAAAACTCTATAAATCTTAAATTTCATCTGTTCAAAGGTCTATCATTATGTAATTTCTTATGTACAAGTAGCATCTTAAATAATGTTATTTTGAAATGGTTTACATACAAATGAGGTGTTAAAATGGGTTAAAAAAGTTTTTTTTTTTTATAATCCAATTAAATATCTCCACATCATGTGTGTATAAGACATTATTTAAATCATTATATACATATATCATAATCGTTTTTGAATTAGAGCCTACTCATTGCATCATCTGATTACAGCCTTATTGGTCCTGAAAACAAAAACATTGGCATCTATCTATGATGTTGACTCTTGAGAGTTGCGAGAAAATTGTTAAAATTGGCATGCACATGACACATTTTGTCGACAAGTTACTCGAAATCAGTTTTGAACATGTCAGAGTTGGGTATCTACCAGGGGCGGACCAAGAAGTTTTTTCAATGTGATCAATATTACCATATGTATAATAATTTTAAAAAAAATCATTATAACACAAATATTATACTAAAAACGAAATGCTTTAAATAAAGTGAAACCCAAAATTTTCGGGGAAAAAATGGAAGCTAAATTTCATCAACTTTTATAAAAAATCTACTAAAAATTCAATTTTCAATTAAACTAAATATGGACTAAATAGTCTTTGAAGCGCGATGTATTATTTTTCTAGATATGGTCCCAATTTTCCCTTTTAGGAATAAAGATTGTGAATCCTAATGATCCTTATCAGATGGATCAAATTTTGTACCAAACTTGATAATGAACGCGATATTGTGAATAAAAATCCAGGGCCAATTTGACGTGGGTTGTGGCCCCGTGGAGGTGGCACAAATTTTAGTACAGGCACAAGGTCTGCCATTGGTATCTACCATGCTTTTAAACACATTTTAGAGAATATTTTATTAAAAAATCATTCATTCATGTATCTGTTTTCTTTTTGACTTTTTTACTTGCCCGATTATAAATGTAATATAACAATTCTATAAAAGAATGCAAGTGGGTAAAGTCAGTAAATGCAATATCTATAATAGAATAGTTGACTTCTGACTTCACTCCATTTTGTTGACCGTGGAATTAATTTGAGCAAGAGAGGAAATTTCACGCGACAACCACGAAATTGTTATAAAATTAAAAAAATAAGTAGGTTTTTAATTTCGAGGGTACGTACGTCTTACCTACTAATTTATTGTGGATTTAATACAAGTAATACTCAAGGAAATGTTTATTCCACTGGCAAACTTTGGTCACCTCACAAAGTTATTGTTAGTTGTCAAAGTTTTTGACAACTAATTCTCACTGTTTATGGTTAAAAAAAAAAAAAAGGGTCTATACTGCTAACTCAACCTCTTAAACGAAGCAAGAAAGTGCAAACTTACCCTGATTTCGATTGGCACCATGCCTTTCATCCCCTGAGCTAAGAAGAAAGAAGTTTCCCCAATAACGATTTTTGTGATGATATGGTATGGTATGGTAAATCTCACTGTCTACGGTGATGAAAAAAAAATAAAAAATTCTATACTGCAAACTCAACCCCTTAAACGAAGCTTGAAAGTGCAAACTTACCTTGATTTCGATTGACACCATGCCTTTCATCCCCTAAGCTAAGGAGAAAGAAGTTTCTCCAATAACGATTTTTGTGATGGTATAGGAAGACCATAATATTTGCTTGAGTTCATCGGCCCATAATTCTTTCTTAGCATCCAACTTTCCTTTTAACATGTTTTTTTTTATCATTTTATTTACTGCTTCTACTTGTCCATTAGCTTGAGGGTAATATGGAGTGGAAAACTGTATATGAATTCCCAATTCGCCGCAC